GGGGGGGGGGGTTCACCAGTGCTTGATATATAAAGCACGTGGCCATGTCCCTGTCCAAGCTCTGTCGAGTTAAAGCGGTTTTGAGAAAAGACGACGAGTTCATGGGAGGGACGACTGACGGGAGCAAAATATTATGTCAAGTACCTCGTGCTTGTTGCCGATTGACGAGTAGCCACCCACGCCCGGACTGTACCGCGAAGGCACGCGCTCCTTCACTCTGGGCTGTGTTGGTAGGTATGTTTCGTTTGGCTGGCTGTTGACCTTGGAAGCAGACATTACACCTCAGTTTGTGCAAGGCCATGCTCCGCGAGGCGCCTCGCTTGGGGGGGCAGGGAGGGCACATACATGTCGAGAAGAGAGTGCCCACGGCCGCTGAGCGTTCGTAACTTGCCGTTGCTGGTTTTGGTGAGGAACCACGGGCGGCGTTGTGCAATGCCTCTGCCTGCCTATCGCGGTTGATTGTTGTGCATGGGCATACCGAGAGGAATCGCAAGGGAGGGAACGGCAACTTAACCTCATTTTCGACTACAAAAGTAAAACTGGAAATATGAAGTGCTGCTACGACAGTTCCCCGATTTTCAACTCCCGAAATCCCTGGATTCGTCCGCACGCAAATTGAGAGATGCGCCCATCGCTGACGACGGCAGCAGCACCAGCAGAGATAGACTCGGGCAACACTACGCGACTCGGGTTGTGATATTGGAGGATGGTTCTTGCCGTACATCATTCTGAGAAGGGGCTTCAAGGACAGCAACTCGTGTATCGAGAACACAACCAATTCCTCGCAAGTTTTCTTGTTTGAAACGCTCCCGGTCCGCGCTTTCCTGACCACCACATGACACGCAAAACCTGTACTCAACAGTATTGCCGGCGGCACTGCTTGGAACAACCAAGCAAATACCAAGGGTTACGGTAGGAAGTCGAGAATGCCGGAGAGAATGTGGCGAGTCGCTGAATCACGCGCATTTATTTGCAGAACACTGAACGACGATGGTCTTCCATGAGAGCAGGGTACGTGTCAAGCGCCCGACGTTTCACAGCATTTATTTAGTACGATGTATTACCAGCCCACACATGCACTGCCCCGTTTCCACGATTCTCAGGCGGCCACATAATCGCGTATCCATATGCTTGAAGATCAACCGTTTGAGTTCAGTCTCTTGTGGCTCCCATCCTCCATCTCACTCATACCGACCAGCAGAGGAATGGTGAGAACGGTGGGCTACAATCGTTTCGAGTTTGCATAAGATGTCATCACTTGAAAACCCACCGAGGGTGGGGGATGAACGGGGACCGATAGGTTTTGTGTGGGGGTTGTCCCCGTGCACGTGTTTCGAAAGGCTTCACTCTTTCACTCTCAAGGACGAAGTTACCAACTTGCGCCACCTTTACTCATAAGAGTCGTTTCACAAAAGAAGAAACTGTTGGTCGTTTCGAAAGATGCTTGACTGTAGCATCAAATGCATCAAAAGAAATTGGTATCGTTACCGTGTTTCGTTTCGTGCTGGTTTGTGCAACACGTCACATCGTGTGAGTCTACAATACCACAATCTATGGGTTTCCCCTTGCTGTCATGGGCGGTCAGCAACTGAGCGAGAACCTACCGTCTAACATGAAGATGTACCGCCATCGGCAATCCAACGAAACGGACGGCAGCCGCCAAAAGTATGTTGTCCTCATGGCGGGCGAACAAATCCGAAATGCCCGTCCAAAAAGCGGCTGGACGTTTTGTCCAAGGTCTCTGCACTATCGTTCATTTTTCTTGGAACACGCCGAGATAAAAAAAAAAAATCAACACATCGATCGCCAAGAACGGGGAAAGGACGTCGATACCAATAAAAAAATGCACTCCAAGGTATCCATGGATTTCTCGCACGTGATTGGCCAATAGCTTGAAACAAAACCTACCCATAGCAAGCAGAACATCCAAACCAACGCCGACACAATATGTCGGGGGGAGCAGTCATGTTATCTCTTTGCTTGCCGCTCATCATGGCGCCGTCTTCTCATTTAAAAAAAGTTTTCGGAATGTGTGTAGCGCTCTTCCAAAAAGTAACAGAGAGCAGCAGCGCGCTCGACAACTTTGTGTCTCCCATTTCCGTGAGCCAGCGGTGCCCCCCCCCCCCAAGGTGAGGTTCTCTTCGTATCCCCCTTTCGAGAAGAGGGACATTTTCAAGCATGCGTTAAACCAAGGGTCAAACACGCTGCTGCTAGAAAGTAAGCGATCGAGGCCTTCAACTCACCAGTCTCCGAACGACAAACGCCCAGCTACAGATCTACACATGCATTTCATTTGTAAAACGATTAAAAACTAACCTCTACTTTCTTAAACAAGGACGATGGACCATTAACAGGTGACAACGTGGCGAAACGACTCATGAAAACCGAGAAAATCCCGGTTTGCTCTATCCATCGTCGAAGATAAGCGCGAGACACACACGGGCGTATGGCCACTACGGTACTGTAGCGCCCAATCGGCGCGCATTGTACGGTGGGCAGGCGGAATGCAGGCTTAGTGCTTGCCCTGCGCCTTGTGCATCTGCAAAGGGTTAACAGAGAGAAACAGGGCAGCGAACGATAGCGAGGGGGCCGATGCACGAGTGGAATGGGACCGTTGCGGGATGGTTAATTTTGGGTCAGAAACGTTCAGGACTATGCATATGTTGACAAAAAATACACACAGTACATGGATGCCTTTCGGAACGAGGTGTTCTTTATCGCCTGATGGTGCTGTTTTGGGATGCGCAAGGGCGCTTGCTCAACGGTGTGCGAACAGGGCGCGAACAAAACGTAAAGCGCGGAAACGCGCCATAAAAACTGCAGCAAAGCAGCATTCCAGCACCGGACCACCTCATACAGCAGTACGAGAACCAGAGACCGTTCTAGAATGCCAACCGCATATACCTACCCACGCCCCAAACCTCACCTTCTTGACGTTGACGAAGTTCTTCTTCCGCATGATGCGAGAGATCATTTTACAAAACCTGACAACCGCCTACAGTACAGCTACCCCTCACCTTCTTGACGTTGAAGTTCTTCTTCTTTTGCATGACGCCGGAGCCCCCGGCCTCTACCAACTCGAGGGCGTCGTCCTTGGCGTCGAACGTGTAGGGCAGGTCAAGGATGGAGCCGCTGTGGCAGCAGTCCATGACCACGGAGAGAACGACGCCTTCGGGGAGGGGTAAGACCAGCTGCACGTCAGAAGAAGACAGAAACAAACAAAAAGCAAACGACAAAAAAAGAAATAAGATACGTTGAAGACGTGAGTTTGGTGTGATTTCTGTGGAGTGCTGTCCCATCAAGAGATGCTCGATGACAGAGGTGCCATACCTGTGAACGCAAGATACATTTGATAGGGGGGTTAGGGCGAGTTGATTCTGAAGTGTATCATGGAGAGAGAAATGAAGAATCGGCACAAGGGCGCAAAGCACAAGATTCCAAAACAAGCAGCCAGGCAGCCACGCAGGTAAATGAGAGGCCCGGCCACAAAACCACAAGTACAACACGTGATGGAAAGAACAAAATGAAAAACGACAAGTCCGGGTTTGATAGAGTTTAACCCTCTTCTTTCTTAACGCTTTGGACGAAACGCACGACGTGTTCGAGTTTAACAAAGTTTACCATTGTTTGTTGGCCCGTTGGACAAACGACGTTGGGAGAGTCATGCGGTGGAATCCACCTTTGGGTAGGGGCTCCGCAAGCGCAAGGCACGCATGCACATACCTCCTTGAGGATCTCGTCGTCCTTGATCTGTCCCGACTTCATGTAGTCGACGGGGATCATGGTCTCGTCCTTGCTGTCCTCCTCGTCGCCGGTGGTGTCCTTCACGGAGCCCCCATGGCCCGAATAGTGCATGAAGAGCGAGTCCCCGGCCTTGGCGCCGTGAACGAGCCACCTTGTTTTCGTACGGGCATCGACAGAGCCAAAGAAAGCAGATTTGATTGAGCGGTGTACGCGCAGGGGGTAGTGCTGGCACGGCATCACGAAGAGCCGAACCAAAACAAATCACGAAAAACGCTGTAACTTCTGGAACGGAAAACACGCAGCAGTGCAACAACAACGGCAAACGACGACAAAAATGAACCTCGAAATCATTATCAACACAGCAGCAGCAGCAGTATCAACAAAGAGCAAGGAATGATAACTTACTTGATGGCCTTGAGGATGTTCTCCTTTGTGGGTTCCTCGTGCTCTCCGTCATCGGACACGATCTTGAGGTTTGCGCCGTCGGCGGGGTATCCCTAAAAAAAGAAAACAAAGGAAGGTAAGTGACAACATCGCATTCAACATACTTTCCATTTATGTCGATCAACCAACGTGTTCCTTCACAGCGATAATAGGGATACACGGTTCAATGTGCGGTGCGTCCGAAAGCTTTGCTGACTCCCACTCTTTAGAGAAGCTGACGAATCTCTGAAAAACAAACGAGACAAGAATGCAGTACAGCGAGCGGTGTCCACCGCAACCAGTTCACACAAATAGGACATGGGAGACGACGGCCGGAAAAACTGGAACGAGAAAAGGAACGGGTTCTTCAACAATATGACGAGACGGACGAATTCGAGCTTAGAGACAACGAATGGAAAACACAGACACACACGGGCCATCCAGCGTGATGAAACCATGGTGGCACAGGAGAAACCCTCCAACAGTGGCAGCATCGTAAACCATTCTTCACGGCATAAGGCTGAGTCTTACGGCGTGATTATTTCCGGATTGGATTTGGGGGGGGGGGCCTTTTTTGGGCCCAAAAAAGGCCCCCCCCCCCAAATCCAATCCGGAAATAATCACGCCGTAAGACTCAGCCTAATCGGCCAAAAACGCCGCCTCCGGCACAAGCCGAAGGGAACTACTGAAGCTCCCCGACAAAGCACCCGAGCACGACGAAAATATCTCTCGCTGCGGTGGTGATGGACTCCCCCTGCCCCTCCCTCGTCGTGAATATTCGCCGTCCCTCTTCGGTCATACGGCCGACTGCCGAAACCGAAAAACAAAGTACATAGGAACGTCACAATGGAGGTGATGTTTCAAGAGGGCAGTTCAAAACCAACAGGGACGAGTTAACAGGCAAACAAAACTCACGTGGGTGGTGATGTACTCCCTCATCTGCTTGACGTCGTTGTGGCAGCCCTTGAGCTCTCCCTTTCCGCCCGTGTAGTTGATGCCGATCAGGAGGGCCTTGTGGTTGCCTGATTCATCACCCTGCATGAACACGAACAAAACACACGACACACACACAATGCAAAAAAAAAAAACACTCACGGATTAGAAGCGTTTTCCGTTATTACGTCGCACTGAGACTGGCGTCTTCTCATTGGCCGGCCGGTGAGCGCAGGGCATGCTGTAATACTACTCCAAAAGACACCCACAACACAAACACACAAGAAAATCGGCAGTCACCAAGCAAAGACCACGTCTCTCAACACAATTTCGAAACGTTCGTGCTTGACGTCGAGGTTCAAATTCTTGACAGCGGCTGTTTGGGAGCAACCACAGCCTCGGCCTCCCCAACACTGCCCTCGCGACCAAGGAGGCTTGCGCACTAGCCCAACACTCTTGAACGACATCCATCACGAGAGGACAAAGACCAACGCCAACATACCACGTTTTTATGACCGTTCTGTCCCGTTTCTCGAACAAACGCAAAATTGCTGTTGGAATCATACTCTAGACAACTACACATGATGTTGACACATGACACAAGTTACCACCAAGAAGATAGAATTTGAGATCTCTTGCGCACCTCGTACGTGGATACGAGCCTCGTGAGAAACGTCTTCCGAAAAAAATCGAAAAGACAAGACAGGCGAACCAGGAGAACCGCAAAAGCAGCTTACCCCAGACAAGTCGAAGGGCGAGTGGATGTCCATCTTTTTTGAGGTGGCCAGCTGGGGGATCTGCAGATAAGCAAGCCGAGGTTCGACAAGGGGTAGCGATCAACGAATAAGAACGTTCGGTAAAACAATCACAAGGAGGCACGGGTGACAATCCAACTATGATCACCATCCTTGAAATCAAAACAGGGAGTCGGCTCACACTGAATCAACCAGAGGTTGCTCGTCATGACAGGGGAGAGACGCCTTCACCGTAGTGCGTGAATGTCGAAAATGTCCAAGTAGAGGGAGGTGACTGACTTATCTTACACTGCTGTAGCGTCCTCTGCCGGCGTCGAGACTGCCGCCAAAATCATTCTTGAGACGGTCACCGCGGTCAAGACATGCAAACCACACTCTCGCCGCAACACTCGCACATATAGTTTATACGTTCAAGCGTTTCCAGTAGCAGCAAGGCGACTTCCGTCTTTTCATCGGTCGGACGGTTAGCGCGGTCGATGCCAACAAAAAAGACACGCACGCTTCCGCTGGCACTGACGTCTTACATTGGTCAGCCGGTCAGCGCGGTCGACGCATTGAACAAAATGAACACACACACTTGTTGTACCTGCTTGAACTTCTTCTCCTTGAGGGTGGAGCGCATTCCCTTGAGCAAGCTCATCCACGAGTCGGGCTTGGAGTCTTTCTGCAAGAACAAACACCCACCATAGACAAACCAACAGGCAGATCAGCAGCGTGCGGGACGGTGAGGAGGGGGCAAGAACCGTACGACACACGCAAACGAGAGACGAGATACATAAACGTAGCGTGTCGGAACGACTATTAATAGTTCACGAACTTGGGGGGATTACGTAAATGCATAACCCAACCGGGGGGGAAGAAGTGGCATCTCCAGACTTGTCGGATACCAACATGGGTCATCTGCTGTTTCGTGCTGCCACTGTACAAAAAAAAAAACATCCGGAAATTGCACATCACACGGTCAAGCTGCACATTGTTTGGCACGTACGTTCGAAGCTTGCCGACAAACCTCCACTGCCGTCATCAAATACCTACTCCGCTGCCGTTTGGAACTGTTGCGGTCATTTTGCCATGCAACCCAAACACAACTATTGGCACGTGGAATAACACCATACACCGCTGCCGCTCTAGTATCGGTGACTCCTGTTGCCTGCCGCGTGTCAACTTACCACGTTGGCGAGGACGGCGTTGGTGCAGGCACCCCCGGCGCCGGTGGCATCGGGCAGGCCGAACTTGGCCACGTCGTGGACGTCGGCGGAGGTCTGGACGTCCTCGCACCCGGAGAACATCCTGTCGAACAAAACAAAGCGCAACAGAACAAAAAAACGTGTGCACATTTGAAAGGGAACGAAACGGAACGAAAAAAAAAGAAAGAGAAACGAGAAGGAAGTTTCGAGAGGATGTTTTTCCACACATTGAACAACACCGCTTTAAGAAACAAGCGTCTGTTTGACACAAGAATATCATATCCATGGGCCAGCAGAGTAGATAGACTAAGGGAAGCCGGGACGAGAGGGAAAAAACACGCACACGCACCTAACGTCGGCCCTGATGCCGCCAGCGATCTCCGCGTCGAACTCTTCATCCGGGATGTCCTTCGCCCTGTGCCCACGGTTCTTGCCGCCCTTGCCGCCACCACCGCCGCCGTGCTTACCGCCGCCCCCACCGTGGCCTCCTCCTCCTCCGCCGCCGCCGGCTCCGCCGCCGGCTCCGTGCTTACCGCCGCCGTGCTTACCGCCGCCCCCGCCGTGGCCGCCTCCGCCGCCATGCTTGCCGGCAGCGGGAGCCGCCGCCGCCGCCGCCGCAGGAGCGCCTTCGTCGCCCCCCTGCTTCACGCCCATCGAGCTCATGGCCGCCGAGATCTGTTCCTCGACCTGGCCCTGAACGTCCTTGCTTACCTTGCCGGCTTCGGCCTGAAAGGGGCGGGGGTACGGGAAGGTTCGATGGGTCCTGAGAGGAAAGCATAAAAACAAAGCTGGTGTTGAGTATGTGCCATAGGGAGCTGACCTTAAGAACTGCAGAGATTTTTTCACTATTACAGAGATGTATGCGTTAGTGAATGACATTATCCCATCTGGATGCACTGCTGCCGTGAGAAGCTGTCGACACAACCGCTGCCGTACACTGTTCACTTTGCCGTCTGGGCTGAGGAGCGATGTATCTATGAACCATGCCAGACGATGTGTTCGAGGACCCGGTTCCATTTGGCCGAAGAGAAGAGAAAGCGCTTTGACGGCAGTCCTGAATACGAACATCACCCTCAGTCAGATACCGTAAATGACACGAGATAACACACCCCCTGGACCGGTTTTTTCAAATCTCGATTTCTCAACAATAGAAAGAGTTACGGCGCCGAAAACGGCGGCGTTGGAACCGTCTCGTCGAGAGCTTTCCAAAAACGTATCGTTTCGTTTATGCATCCTCTTCGTCGTGGAGTAATCGAGCTTTGGAAATCGGTCCAGGGGGTGTGATTATCTTGTGTCACATGCGATACACATGAAAGCGACTCATTTCTGGGAGCCGTAGGAAAAAGAAGAAAAGAGAGTGCGACACCGTTGATTCCAGGTCAATGACAGAATGCTACCATCCATATGGAAGGTGCTGGCCAGGACCGAGATTCCCGCGAAGCTGATCGAAGTCATCCGCCAATTCCACGATGGAATGCGGGCCCGGGTGCGCATGGACGACGGAGAACTATCGGACTGGTNTCTTCGCCGAGGTCCTCGAGGTCGTTGTCATCCGATTCAGCGAGGATGATGTTGTTCTGCGGAGCCTGGTGTGCTTGGAGGAGGGGAAGACGGAAGCGGGGGAGGATACACCCCTTGACCGACTACGGAGGGCAGTATGGGGGATGCTGTATGGCGATGATGCCGGCATCGTATCAAGGTCTGCCGAGGGACTGGCGGGAATGATGATCATCATCGTTGAGGTGTTCAGGAAGTTCGGGCTAACGGTGTCGGAGAAGAAGACGGAGACGCTCCTGATGCGCGCAAAGGACAAGCCGACTACAACATCACAGCCCGCCCCGCCTCCACTATTGACCATCAAAGCCGCGGGACAGAAATACGCCCAGACCGGTACCTGGGTGGCCTCGTCAACGAACATGGCGACCTCACCCAGGAGATCAACTACAGGAGCAGAGGAGCGTGGACGTGCCTCAGGCGATATGGCCGGCAGCTCTTGGACAANCGCGCAAAGGACAAGCCGACTACAACATCACAGCCCGCCCCGCCTCCACTATTGACCATCAAAGCCGCGGGACAGAAATACGCCCAGACCGGTACCTGGGTGGCCTCGTCAACGAACATGGCGACCTCACCCAGGAGATCAACTACAGGAGCAGAGGAGCGTGGACGTGCCTCAGGCGATATGGCCGGCAGCTCTTGGACAAACCGCAAGCGCCATTCCGACTCAAGATCCACCTGCTCCAGGCGGAGGCGATGGAGGCACTGCTGTACGGCTGCATGACATGGTCACCACTCAGCGGCCACTATCAGACGCTGCGGTCGATACACCACCGACTGCTCCTTCGAGTTATCGGGTACAAGCGCAAGAAAGACACCTACCGGCAGCTCTCTTACGCCCAGACGCTGAAGAGGGTCGAATGCCAGAGCGTTGAAGCCACGATCCGACAACGACGCCTACTGTTCGCGGGAGCATTGGCAAGGCAGCCGGACGGGCGACTCCCGAAACGACTGATGTTCGGCGAACTGGCAGGGGGGGAGAAGCGACGTAGGGGGGGACAGGAACAGAACTGGCCGAAGTGTGTGCTCGACGACCTGAAGGCATTCGGGGCCGACCACGGATCTACGAAAACCGATCCATGTTGTCTCGGAGTCCCGGTACCGGACGACACGGCACCGAAGTAAAAGTGGACGGAAGCCGCGAAGGTGGAGGGGGGAGTACCCTGGCATGCGGCGGTGCTGCAGGGCGCTGAGAGGTTCATGACCTCCTGGCACGAGAAGGAACAAGAGGCCAGCCGACAACGAGCGCTCAAACGAAACCACAAGCCACCAACCAATAGGGCGGGAGGGGGGCAGGAGACGGACGAGACGGCGCGGGAAGAAAGCGAAGGAAAAGAGACGGACCGAGTGGCGCGATACGTGCCGGATTGAATTTCTTTTAGCCAATTCCCCCCCCCCCCAACGCTGCACCATTGCACCAAACCCCCACTAGTGATGGCGTGTACCATTACAATGTATCGCTGATTGGTGGCCATGTTTGCGTGTTTGCTTGTCGTTAGTGGTCTCTCCACCGTGTGCCTTTTTCTGTCTCTTATTTCTTGTTATTTTCGGCCTGGTCCCTTTTTGTCCTCGCTCTTTTTCATTTCATTTTCTCCTTACTGTTTCCTTTGATTTTCTTCTCTTTTTCTCTCTTTTTCTGTGCCACATGACCTTGTCTCTGCTTGCGTTGTGAAGTACCAAGATTGAACCAAGGGGGTGTACCTTATTCTCTCCGGCCAGTGATGGTGACTCCTAGTCTCAGTTGTTACCTCGCATATCGCGCAGAGGGAGTGGAGGACTCCAGAATATCTGTCGTTGATTTCTATTGACTTGCGGACCCCTCGGGGCCATTTTATTTGAGTGTACCTTTGTAGGGTAAGTTAGCCTGCGACCACGGGAATCGACCGCGTCGAGTGTTGGATCAGTACGGACATACGAAGGTACTGGGTAGAGAGAGATCGGAACGGTTTTTGATGTGAAAACAACAACAACAACAATCCGCAATCGCATCAGAATTTCACAGAAGTGGCACCAAGGGGATTCTTTTGGAACCGGCCCTTGATTTTGTACATCATCCGTTGTGTACTTCACGAAAATCCGCTCACACTACATGCCGCTGTCGAACCCCCCCCCCCCACAGGGTGCGGATAGCCTCTGCCGCACGGCAGGCCTTTTTACGGTCTGTTAGTGACTCTTTAGGTCTAACCAGATGTTTGAAGGCTACTCCTGTAGGCTTGCACCTTGGATGGGACACACACCGTGGCCCTGCGGGACACTTCCAGCAACTGCTGTAAAAGAAAGAATAAACGTGAACACACAAAGACCACCGTTCGAGATATAACCACAGCAGTCGAACGGGATGTTTTGAGAGTCTTTGGAGTCCTAAATTACCCCCATCTTCGATCCTACCCCTCGTGGCAGGTATACGAGCCTCTTGGATTTGAGTGGGTCGGTCGGTGCTTTCGCGACAATGTTTTCGTTGCTCGTTTAATAAACTTAACAGGAGCAAGAACCTTCGGAGTGTACACTGCTGTTCCGCGCGACGCTGCGGGATGCTGGTATGTGAGGAGAGACGTTGGCTTGCTGGCGGCCTATGTTTGCTGAGGTGGCGGGATCTTCATCGAAACTGCCAAAAAAATTCAACAAAGGAAACAAGATGTCGCACACGCCATTTTTGAGCACGGATTTCGGCAGCTTCCGCATGACACCAACAATCTATCACACGCACACAGAAAAACACAGAACCAACGTGCGAAAGCAACGGCGATCTTCACCATCAATGCACCGCCGATCGATGTTCAACAAGCGCCCGTTGCCTTTCGTTGGGTCTGTTGGCCACGTGTCCACAATTTTTGTTGCTGTTTCTTGCGACATATTTTTCTGTTCCTCACGCACCCATATTGCCGGTCGAATACATGATAGGACGGGTTGTTCAACGGGAGCGTGTCGTTACCGTAAAGACTCTGAAAATAGTGGAACCACAGGTGAGATTTTGGTAGATGCCGGTTGTTGGTTTCACCACCCGCTGAACGTAGAAGCAGCTTGTATGATGCATGTGCATATGCGTTCCATGTATGCATAGCTACATGCGGGAAGTAAGGGAGATCGAGAGGCGGGTGAACTTTCGACCCGGCAGGTGTCTGCGAGAAGAATGAGACACAGCCACCAGCTTCCACCTCACAGCTCCCAGCTTCCACCTCACAGCTCCCAGCTTCCACCTCACAGCTCCCGTGCAGGCATGCCCACAAGCTGTAACAGGCACCAAGAGATGCATCGCTCAGCTCTAGCTTCGCGTCCCGTGCGCGAGACAGATCGTGCCAAGAATCGAATTCGCGGCTGCTGCAACGTCCAACTTCTCCAGGGGAAGTTGAGGCTTGGCCATTTCAACATCGGTTTTGTTCCAAAACCAACACAGCAGCTGCTGTTGACGGGGTAATTAGACCACACGCGACGAAGGTAAATGAAACCTTGTGGCTGTCGTTATGGGGCAACCGCTAAGGGTGAACATGGTGGAGAGTGTGCATATCGCTATCTTGATGTACGGCAAGAACTTCGCGCCCCACGAAAGCCGAAGAAAAGTGTTTGGGATGTGCTTCCTAAAATGAGAACTTAATGAATGATCCGACACAGCCAAACGAGAACTCAACCTACCTCCACCGCGTCCTTCGCCTTGTTGAGGAAATCCATTGTTATGTGGGCGTGTTGAAGATGCTTTCGGTTGTTGTCGTCCGAAGATGAGGGTGTGCGCTGTAGTTTTGTTTGTGATAGAGAGCAGATGTTGAAAACCGAGGGGGCGGGCAGGTAGACCGCAAAAACAGGGAAAGATTCACATTTATCCCCTATAGGGGAGGATTTAGACTCATCCCCTAAAAGAGCAATAGGCGTTGCTGTCTAATCAAGACGAAAAACACGCACACGTGAGCCGAACAAGGGGCCAAAACGCACAGAGCGGGGAGGACAAGGGGACGCGAAACATTCGCGCTTGGCCAAAACCCGGGGACGACAAGAGAGACAGCCACATCTTGCGTTTGAAAATCTCGATTTGGCTGTGTTCCCTCGCGCGCCGCGCCATGAATCCTCTTCCGGTGGGGTCTCCCTTCATGTCCCCTCCGCCAGTCATGGAGCAGCGTCACGTGGCCGAGCCGGAGGAGCCGGGGCTCGATGTTGGCATCGAGCCCGGGGCGGGGTTGGGCTACCCCGGGTTGGACGGAGAGATGAGGATCATCTCCCGCGAGATCTACCAGGGGAAGACGTTCGACGACTGGGACGACATGGAGGGAAACGTCCGCCGCCTGGCGCGCAAGGCGGGCTTCAAGGTGGTGAAGGCGAGTGAACGAACCGGCTGAGGGGGTAGAGGGAGCCAGCTCCTTCGTTGGCAACAACGACGGCGGTGCTGTGTGCTGGTGGGAGACTTTCGCTACCTGGGTTTGAATGAATCTTATGATCATCCGCTGCTCTGCTGCCGCTGCTGCCGTGTGTCGTGAGGCTGCCGCGCTATCTGCGCTCTGCCCTGTAATACTTTGAGCACCGACATCCGTGCTCGAGCGAAGCGCGCGTTGGATGCGCTAAAAATACTTGAGCGCCACGGCTTGGTGGCAGTAAAGAGCGACGAGATGACAAGGGTTTCAGGCTTCAATCTTAAAACGTTATCTGGCAAGCTCTTTGGTGCCACCGCTGGCGCTGTCCAGAGAAATACAAGTGGAGAATGGTGGGCAGAGTGGCCGCATTGGTGGTGTGTTGAACCGATGCTGCGTTTTGACGCAAAAACCTAGCACTGCTGAACCATAGAGTCTAGACTATTCTATGATATAATACTGCTGCTGTAGATGGATACAGCAGGAGCGGTTACGGTGTAAGAGCAATTGTTGAAGAGAAAGTACTGATTTAAGAAGAGTCAAGCTGGCTTGTCACGACCAAAACCGATTGACGAGAAAAATTGCCCTATTTCTGAGATTTTCTCTTAAATCGAACCTTTGAAAAAGATCCGCCATCACACACCTAGCCATCACACACACAGGTGCAGACACCATGCCCTGCGCAGCAGGCAGCCGCTGTACAGCGGTCCCCCAAGTGTCCTACCACCTCCGCAAGGCTAAGCTAGCTTGGATGAGTGCTTACGTATCGAGGGAAACCAAGCAGAAGGTCATGAGAGAGGACATGTAACGGTACACCGCAGAGATGGATGTTGAGGCCAACAGGCCGAATTAGTTGTCTGCGCTTGTGTCGATTTCTTGAGCGTGCGATACTCTCCAGATTTGTTGTTTTCTTTTTTGTTTGGGTTGAAATGGATAGGTCGGGCGTTGAGTGTAGGGGGTTGGGCGAGGTGGGAGTGTGTGCCTGGTCATTGCGGTGGGTATATTTCTCGCTAGCAAACATAAAGAGCATGTGTGTGGAGCTAACACAAGGTGCTTACGCGTACTGACGTCATGAAATTAGAATGATGTGCCCTCCACCAAACTCTTATGGCAGGTGGCTGCAACGAGAGCGTTCATTTGACGGCTTCTCGAAAAAGTTACGGTTTAAGAGAAGTTTCTCTTCAACCGTGTGCACGGTATACGGTATAAGAGAATACTCTCTTGAACCGTGGTCAACACGGTATTAGGGAGAGAATAGGGGATAGTCACCATCCTCTCTTAATCCGTAGCCACTACTGTACTTCGAAGTATTAACATGTCACGTCTTCGCAGCCCACGAGCGATGGGTGCGAGGTCATGTGCAACAGCAGTGCGTGTTCAACACCAAAGTTGACGTTGAGTTTTTGCACTGCTATTTCCACCCTCTCGATTCCGACAGGCCGGGGCAAGCAATCACATCGGGAATATCTATCTGCTGTGCGTTCGCGTGTAATGTGTAGCCTACCGTATACGACACAAGGTAACACACCCCCTGGACCGATTTTCAAAGCTCGATTTCTCAACGACAGAGTCACAGCGCCGAAACGGCGGCGTTGAAGCCGTCGCGTCGAGAGCCTTCTGAAAAATTGTCGTTTCGTTTTTGCAACCTCTTGTTGGTGGCGTAATCGAGCTTTGAAAGTTGGTTCAGGGGGTGTGTTATCTTGGTACACTACAACATGGCGCACACTTACTGTCAGTGTGCCGGCCGGTGCACTGTATAGCTGCACTGCTTGAGGCGTTCAGCCGTGCAAGATCGAAAAGCCCTCGTTGGCAAAGTGTGACGGGAAGTCTCCGCGACCTCCACTTTCCCTTTCGAATCCGTGGAGGCTACCAAACGGAAATCACCTGTGGCTCAACATTCTACCCCGCTCCTCCGTCCGCGTAGCGTTCGACTGACAGCTATCGCGTGCTCCGTATGTGCCTCAAGCCTCCCTACAAAAGCGCATTTTGCTCCGACATTGGGAGACGAATGAATCCCTTCTCTTCCCTCCTCGCCGCCGGGGGGGGCAAGCCTATCACTGAAATGTGCCTCCGAGTCTAGCGGTGCTCCTCTCGCCTGAGATCGCCCCCGGATTTTCTTGCGTGCGGAGCACTGCTGAGTAGGAACGAGATATGCCAAAATGACCCTTCTTCCCCGCCGACCGCTGTCGCCACAGGACTCGAAGGGCGAGAAGCGCGCTGACGGCAGGCAGAAGCGTATCGTGTGGAAGTGTGATTGCGCTGGCATGAAGACGCCCCGCAAGGGCCAGAAAGACTTGACACACGACCAGACCTCCCGGGAGAGGCCGTCGAAGCGCCAGGGATGCCCCTTCCAGGTGTTTGTTAGAGTCTGTTGTTTGTGTGTTCGTGTTATCTTTTTCCGTCCACAAGTTTGATTTCTTTGTTGTAGTTGCAGGTCGGATCGTTGGCGTTGTGTTGCGAACCCGTTGCGACTGACTGCTGCTGCTGCTGCTTTCATGCGGGCGTGAGACAGTGTGCTTCTGCTGTTGATACCTAGGCCTGGCTGCTGTCGTTGTTGCAGTCTGGTCTCCGTCGTCAGAGGAGACCCAATCTTTCCATTCGTCGGTGTTTGTTGCTGTGATCTCGCCCTCCCGCAGGTCACACCCTTGCCTCTCTCGCGCGCTTTCTGCAGTGGCTGTCGATTTTGTTCGCCTACACGCATTTCACATGTTGTGCCTGCCCCTTGACTAATCTCGTCTTCATTTAATTGTGTCGTCGTGTGTCTTTTCTTTTTTTTTCTCTCGAGACCTCGCCCACATGTAGACGTACAGCCCCACCCCTTTGGTACCAGACATTATTACATGTTTGTCGTTGCTGTCCCAGGAGAGTTTTACGCCTCTCCCAAAAATCGTGACAGCAGCGTTTTGCAAAAATCCGTCTTCTACACAAATCCACCAACAGATCAACGCCACGTGGCCCGAGAAGTGCCTCCAGCCAGGGGTGACGAGGTGTACCCTTGAGCACAACCACCGCCTCGCGGGGCCCCTCCGTGCCGGAAGACAGGACCCCGTCCTGCCCGAGGAGCTGCTGGCGGAGCACGTGAGCGCGCTCAAGGAGTGGGCCAGGATACCGGTGGCTGTTCGGACGCAGGTATTGATAGCAGTGTTTTTATTCCCGCTGGTACCGCTGGTTGGTCAGCATGTGAGAGTTTATATAAACAGACTCGAATTGAGTCCGGTTCCCAGCAGGTACCACCTAAAACCCTCGTTGTAAAGAGAACGCCCCTTCGAGAATTTCTGGAGCGGGTAGTCCTTCTGTGGTAATTTTTCTTGTATTCTTCTTGACACCGGCCACTGCATACGAAGTTGGCAGTCAATGAGCCTCGGAATGCTATTCTAAAAACTTGAGCACGGATTATGATACTTGCTTGTGGGGAACCCATATTAATGGCCTGTTAGGTATGTTGGAGGTATTTTTTTTTATCCGCCGAACCCTGCCTTCAACAAGAAGGCTTCCGAGTGAAGACAGCCATCATCTTTGATGAAACGCTAGGGTGTACAGGGTAAATTTCGTGGTTTTTGTCCGTTTCATGCCTCGCAATAGCTTGTGAGTTTGTAGCCAGTTTTGCAGCATGAACGGTGCTATCTCGCTTGCTAATTGAACGACACCGGCCCGAACGGACAAGAAGAGCAGATATCTCTATTTGTTGTTGGTCTATAAACTCTATCCATTGCGGTGAAGAGCGTCATAAAAGTCATAAATGATGACGTCTCTTGCTGCAGAGCGGTGCTCCGTCTCGAAGGCGCGCGTAGCTAACGTGCCCCCGCCCCGCCACCACCGGCTTCGCTCCCGCTGCCCGCACCTGGCCAGATGCAAATCCTTCGGCACGAGTTCTTCGAAGGGCGTCAGCTCTCCCTCGAAGCCCAGCGCTGCGTCCACACCCTCTCGGGCCAGGAAGCCCCCCGCCGCCGCGCGGCCGCAGCAGCAGCCGCGGCAGCGGCGGCGGCGGCGGCCTCCCCGGGGTCGGTGATCGGCTCCCTCCCGAGCTCCCGCATCAACGACCCTGTTTTCCGCGAGAGCATGACCATCATCGGCAACGCCCTGCGCCAGGCGCTCGAGTCCGGCGCGGACGCCGCCGGCCTCAAGCGGCGGTGCGAGGGCTTCGCGGAAGGGCTCAGGAAGACAACGGTCGCGGCCACGGACAACACGGACCCGTCGCGGAAGAGGATTCGGGTCGACGGCGGGTCGCCGCTCGGCGCCGGCGCCGGCGCCGCCGTAGCGGTGGGAGGCCTAGGGTTGCCGCCGCCGACAACGATGCCGGAGGCGGCGGCGGCCACCATGCCGGTTCCCGTTGCTGCCGCCCCTGCCATGCCCCCGGCCATGGCGCCCCTTCAGGTGGCGGTCGGCGTGCCTCCCCCGCAGCCGCCGCCGGTCCCCGCATCGGTGGGGTTCGCACCCCCCCAAGCTATCGCGGCCGTGTCGGAGGGTTTCGTCCCGACGGGGTAGCGCGATATAGCAGAAACTACAGACAGAGTGACAAGAATTTTATTGGCATTCTGTGTGAAGGTCCAGCCATCGGTTGTTCGTTCGATGAGGCTGCCAACGGTCTGGCTTTCGATGTAGAAGATGTGTCGACGGTTATAGGGAAAGAATGAGACTGTGGGAGACGGGTTATGGTTAAGTTTAGGTATGTCTGAGACAGGGGTAGCTGGGGCCGTATTAGAGGTAACGTGGGCAGGGACTTAAGGAGTCAAGCGCGTACGGGACGTGCCTGCCGCGAGGCGACGTGGTTGTTTGATCGATTGCGTTATTTTTGTAGAAATCTCGAACGATTAATGGTCAGGTCGCATCCGGTTTGTTGCCTTGCACCGTCGCCACTGTAGTCACGGAGCCGAGACGGTGACCTGATGAGTCTTTTTGGTCCACAATTGTAAGTTATATATTCCTTCACCTTTTTTGCGAAAAAAAAGGACGCGGCTTCGGCCGGAGGGTCAACTCACGATGATGTGGGTGTCTACTGAAAGTAGTACGCACCATTAATGGGTGTCTCTGTATAATCCTTTCTCTTTGTTTTACAGCAAGGAGAGTGCCACTGTGCTTCATCTTGTGGGGTGGCGAGATGACAGTAACGTTGCACGGTCCATGTGTGCTGCGTTTACATGCATCTGCGACTCTTCGAGTTTTGTTATCGAATGTTTCCTTTGTTTTGTGTGAATAGGGTGTATGATTGTTTTTTGGGCATGTTGCAGTTGCACACCTTGAAGACCACCAGTTGATGTACCTCGTCTGCCTGGAAAATTGAACATGCGATTAGGAACGGGCCGAATTCATAAGTGTTTATTTTCTTCTGGGGCGGCCGGGGAACAATTAGTTAATAAATAGTCGAAATCCGTTCTCAGAGATAGATGTTGATTTGGCCCGGCCAGCATACACGTGGATGGGATCGCTGAATCCTGCCTTGGCGAATCCCTCCCCAACTACGATAGCGTATATGTATGCTGACACTAGATAGTTGGAAAGCCCTAGAGCGACAATACTTGTCATCGGATCTAACTAGAATCCTTTCACCAGGAGCACATATGAGCAGATTGTACTCCAAGTGTAAAACATACGAAGCGACGTGTATGCCGTGTGTGTGGCGCGCCTGCTTTGTACGAGCGCGCAAAGATGGAGTAACTTGCAGTCCTTGAAATATGGTCGTGCCTGCCGTTGCGAAACGTCTATTACGGTGGAACAAAGTAGTCAAGACCAAATTGGACTATAGTGTAACTTCGTCAATACGGAGTCCCCCATCCCAAACTACAGCGCAAATTGACGACAAAGCACAGAGCTGTCATTCTACGGGGAAAAAAAAAAATGCACCATGTCTTCGAGTAATATTAATCAATTAGTGTGTGATCGTACCCGGCGATCTTCCAAAAATATTGAAGCGCGGGGTTCAAACGATGCGGCCCCAGGGCTTGCACCAGTGATCCATGTATTGTTTGAACAGGGTGATACAGCCAACTCAATTGCGAAATATCAAACAATATGTCAGCTTGCACTCAGGGTGGAACCTTCTGTGCAGCCCCCTTCGTGTCGCTGTTCGTGAATCAAAGTCGAAAAATATTGGCCCAAAAAAGGGCATTATTTTTTTTGCATTTTTTTTCAGCCCTCAAGGGCATCTTCCGCGTCCTCACCCAGCCACTCATCCGTCTGCTCCTCCACCCCATCCTCTGTCTCATCCTCGGCCGTAGCCTCTCGGTACTCTGCTACTGGATACTCGAGGCTACCGATCTTACCGCTANACCTTGTCCGTACCGATTCTCAAGGTCTTCGCGACCTGACAAAGATGGGTCATCCACACAGAGGCAGGGTGGGAAAAAGTTTGTAAGAATACAGCAGTGTATTGCGTTGCAGTGTATTGCGTTGGTGTGCGAAAGCCGGTGTTCAAGGACAGCAGAGTGTGGATAACCGTACAGCGCACGCGAGGAGAACGGTGGTGCCATGCACATGCATACATTCCTTTACATTCAGCGGTACAAAGCGCTGCTGTAATTGCTGTACTGGTACACTGCTGTACATCTGGCAGCATACCGTTATATGTATACCAAGTATTGCACGGCAGTAATAGGCATCAGTACAGCAGTGCAAGCAATGTGACCATGGGCCGGCAGCAGTACTGGCATGATGCACAATATGTTGCGTAGGGCTGTGTCAAGCACTGCTGTTGCTTGTACAATAATCTCGGGTGGGATGTATGCATACATACCATGTACCAGAAAAGCATGTGGCACTGCTGCTGTACTGCTGTCAAAACGTGACAACATGCGTCTGTTACTGGTACTTTGCACACAACAGCCATATTTCTTGGTTCTCACCTGCTCCTTTGCGTGGTTCTCAGAGCTGCCTCCTTTCACCAGGTCGAAGTATAGCATAAGAATCATCCGCGACTGCTGCAGGGTGGTGAGCTCGCCAGTCTTGGGCCTCAGCGATTGCACGAAGTCCTCGACAAACTTCAGCGCGAGAGGGAAGCTTGGAAGTCGCCGCTTCAGCAACCTTGCTGACACGATCCTGCTCTTGCCGTTCACGCTGCTGTTGAAGCGCGTCCGACCTCGCGATGTCCCGCACGNACTGCTGCAGGGTGGTGAGCTCGCCAGTCTTGGGCCTCAGCGATTGCACGAAGTCCTCGACAAACTTCAGCGCGAGAGGGAAGCTTGGAAGTCGCCGCTTCAGCAACCTTGCTGACACGATCCTGCTCTTGCCGTTCACGCTGCTGTTGAAGCGCGTCCGACCTCGCGATGTCCCGCACGAGCTTCTCCCGATCCCTGGCCACTGACGCCTTCATGGCCTTCACCTCTTCTTCCTTGCCCGCGAGAGCTGCTTCGGCAGCGGCGGTGGCCGCCTCTCTCTTCTCCATATCATCCAAGAGCTTGTTCATAGCCTTTGCATTTCTCGCGGCCGCAGCGTTCGCCCTCTGATCGCTTTTGGCGGACGGCCATTGGTGCCACCTGTCGGTACCCGCCTACCACGCTTGGTAATGGTTGGTGCCGGATTGGCCAGGTGCCTGGCGTGGACGGCGAGTTGCTCTACAACGGCTGGCTAAAATTCCTTTTTTTTTTGTGGAGTTGTACAGGCTCTGTTGGGCAGTTTGCGACAGGTTCTATTTTAGAACCTAATTTGTTTTCCCGAACCGCAAACCCAGCAAGGCCTGTCCTCCCATCCTGCCTCCATTGGCCGTTTTATTTTCGATTTAGATACACAAACTTTATTTCTATACTAATTTCAAGTAATTCCACCTTCTTATTCTCCGTCATACAAGCAAAACGGCCGATGGAGGACAGGCCTAGAACCGCAGTAAGTATGCCCGCTCGAATATTGCTGCCATGAAGTGCCTGCTCTTAGCGCCGTTCACTTCGTGCTGTGACTATTCGATGGGCATGAAACCAGCGTCATTCGACAGCTGATGTAACAGACTTCCTGTTGAACCCGCCCAGTGTGCGTGTTGCTCAATTGTTGTATGCAAATGTTGAGAAAGTGTGTGTTTTTCAATAAACTTTTGCGGGAGAGGACATTTTGACAGATTTTTTTTTTTTTGAGAAAAAACGGCAAGTGCCCAATTAGGTCTTGATTATTGTGTTCCACCGTAATAGTTAGCCGGGATGCCCAATCAACCCAAGGCATACCTGGCTTGGCACAGCAAACGCAAGGATGATGATCAGCTTCTGGTTCATCCTCAAGAGAGGTAGCCTGGGCCGGCGAAAACCGGCATGTCGCTCCGTCCCGGTGCCGTAGGAATGCGAGGTCTATCATCTACCGACTACAGCATGCGCTTACATGAGAACACACACACCCCTACGCAGGACCTAGCGACATCACAGTAGTGACGTGCCTCCAAAAGAAGACGCGCCCCCGACACACAGCTTTTTACTGTTTCTTTGATGGATATGGAATGGGCGTGTGCTGAGAGCAGCACCCTCTCCGCAAAATATTCCATCTTGACCGCCACGACTCAGGACTTGACATGAAGCCATGGGATACCCCTCCTCCCTACACACACCGGGAGATTGTTCTTGCACAACCTCTTCACGGCAGGCAAGCCCTCGATCAATCTTCATACCTACGTATCCCAGCGGGTTAGAAAATCAACCGTCGACAAGGCTTTCTAAAAATAAAAACACGAAGTACATGGTAACAAGGCCAACAGACGACGACGTTTCACAGCCCACGTCCCCCATGCGTTTTCGCCGTATCCCTCCCGCCCCACACCCTCATCTCAAAGCCCTGCCGCGCTTGAGACCTACAGAGACGGCCGCGAGAACTGCCGCCCCGGCAACGGTTGACACGCCCAAGAAAGTCAGAGACCGCCGTCTTCGTCGGCTCTGCAGGACCCCACTCCTCGAAACCCAAGTTTCCTTCACCTAGAGGTAGCGATTGTCCCGAGCAAAAAAGGAGACGTTGTATAGGATCGTGTCCATTAGAGAGACACATGGTCGAGAAATGCTGTGTGTGCTAGGGAGGCGAAGTAGGAAGCGCGCGACTGCTACGGCTGCGGAGGAAGATACTATCACGGCAGCAGGCACTGAGCTTGATGCAGTAACGTGGTGCGGTGTGGAGGGCGGCAGATACGATCGATGTCGCAACGGTGCGAATAGTCAACGTGTGTTCGCGGTGCATAATGTACAAAATAATTCCAGGTTGGCGAAGAGAAGGGGAGGGGGGGGGGGGGGT